CCTTTATATGTGGTTCAGAGTTCTGGGACCATCCCCTGAGCGTGCTTGGTCGGGTATTCTTTGTTGTTGTTGGCGGAGCTCTTTACTACACATCCACCTGATCTGCCATCTTGTTTGTTCTCTGTAGTGTATTTTTTAAAAATAAGTAGCTCAGCCAGTGTTCAGTGCTGCGTATGGGTAGGTGAGCACACAGGGCTGCTGTCTTATACGATTCCAAGGCTCATCTGAGGACCTATAGGTAAATCCAAACCTTGGCTTTGTAATAAACAGTTATGTTGCTAGACACCGAAATCTCTGTGGGAGCTATTATAACTATGAAAGCTGCTATTTTCATTTCTATCTTCTTTTCTCCCCCTATATAAAATAATTTTGATCCCTTGAAAATAACAGAAAACTGTGGTTTACATACTTAACACATTTAACCATTTTTATAAACCAACATTATAATTTGATTAACAAAGCAGTGAAGAGAAGAAACAAAAAATAGGACATAACCATTAATCATAATTAAGAATAATAAATACATGTACCACTAAATAGAGCAATTATAAATAAAATCAGAAAATGTTTTTGAAATCATGATATAAAAACGAACTGATGCAACTGGGATCCCAACTGTAGTGGATGGTGACTCAGTGAGGGTATCTGAATCTGAAGGCATTAGGACATTTAATGCTGGGTGTCCTGGTGTGGCACTGTGGAATAATGCACTGGCCCACAAGGTCAGTTTGAACTACAAGGTTGGCAGTTCAAACTCACCAGCCACTCACTGGAAACCCTATACAGGGTTGCTATGAGTTGGGACCAATTTGACAGCACTTGACAACACAATGTAGACAGAGGGACATTGTGACATTGTAGATTTCATTACAATGAAATGTAGCTTTTGATTCCCCCCCAAACTAAGTAGCAAAATAACAGTTTACAGTGTTTACCTCAAACTTGAAAATAGCCTTACTTAGAAGCACTTAATTAAAAAAACAGGAAGAAAACAACAGCAGCAATAAAAATCAACAGAAAATAGACAAGAGACTAACTGCAAATCTTTTTACAGTAAACTAATCTGCTACATGTTCATAAAAGATGAGGGAAAATATATATGCCCGTTCCTTACCTTAGAGTGGGTTCTAGATGCCATGTGTTACACATAAAATCTCTCCAGTCCACAGTAGTATAAGTGATGTTGTCTTCTCTGTCTTTGTCAGAGGAATTTTCATCATGTATAATAATTGGACTTTTCTGTCCCGGTCGAGTAGATAAAATTCGAGGTGGAAAAATGGCTATAATAAAAAGACAAATTAATAATGCAAATACATGTTTAAATTTATTCTCAATCATGATCCCAACACCCACTGCCATTCGGTCAATTCTGACTCAATTACCCTGTAAGGACAATGTAAAACTGCTCCAGAGGGTTTCCATGGCTGTAAATCTTATGAAAGTAGACACATCTTGCTCCTGCTAGTAAATTTGAACTGCTCACCACTTAGTAGCGGTGCACTTTCAATCACTTTGTTATTGTTGTTAAGTGCCATCGAGTTGATTTGGACTCATAGAACCCCTGTGTATAGGGTTTCCAAAGAGTGGCTAGTGGATTTGAACTGTCAATCTTGGGGTTAGCAGTCAGTGCTTATCTTACAACACCACACCAGGATTCCTCAATTACCATTGTTGTTATTGTTACGTACGATCAAGTCAATTCCAACTTACAGCGACCCTGTATAGGGGTTTCCAAGGAGTGGCTGGTGAGTTTGAACTGCTGACCTGTGGTTCAAACCGACCGTGCAGTCCAGTGCTTTAATCTACAGCACCACACTTGACCCTCCATAAACAACATATAATTGGCTCTGCCTCTCATTTTTATTTATAGCCTAGACAAAGCCTCATCTAATTATATCCTATGAAGTAGTATTTTAAATAAGTCATAAATAAGTATAAATTATTTTTATTTTTAGAGAAAAACAGTTCAATGTTATTTTAATGTTTTTTAACAACCAGAAATAACATCATTTCCTTTTGGGCAGTCACATGTTTTACATGTGCACTTTATAACACTAACTTTTCAAATACAAATTAGGCATAAAATAATTGATTTTCATTATGAACCCCTAGTGGATATCTTAATTCATCTACTAACCAAAAGATCAGTAGTTATAACCTGCCAGCTATTCTGTGGAGAGAAAAGACATGGAAATCAGCACCCACAAGTACTAGAAAATCCAAACTAAACCCTTTGCCCTCAAGTCAGTCCCGACTCACAGCAAGCCTACAGGACAATGTATACCTATCCAGAGTTCTGGTGTGGCACTGCAGGATAAGCTCTGGATTACTAATCATAAGGTCAGCGGTTCAAACCCACCAGCCACTCCTTGGAAACCCTACATTCGGTTGCTATGAGATGGAACTGGCACAGTGGCATTTAACAACAATTGGATTTCCAAGGTTATAAATATCTACAAAAGTAGGCTGTCATGGTTTCTCTTCTGTGCAGCACCTGGTGGGTTTGAACTGTCGACCATGTAGTTAGGAGCTAAGCTTTTAATAACTGCCTACTCTGTGTCCTATGGATTCCTGGTGTGGCGCTGTGGGTTAATGTGCTGGACTGCAAGGTTACTTTGAACCGCAAGGTCAATGGTTCAAGCTCACCAGCCACTCCTTGGAAACCCTATACAAGGTCTCTATGAGTCAGAACTGACTCATTGTCACTTAACAACAACTGTGACCTAAAGGATCACTAAAATTCAGAATCGACTTCCAAACACCAGCAACTTTGGTTAAAACATGTGGGAATTAGCACTAGGGATAATTCGATTGATTGGGAATTAGCCTAAGAATGATGCTATGGTGCTTTATTATGTAAGAACATAGATGCCTTAAATTATTGCCTATTTAGTTGGTTGTTGTTGTTGTTAGGTGCCATTGAGTCGGTACCGACTCATAGTGACCCTATGCACAGCATAACGAAACACTGCCCAATCCTGGGCCAACCTCACAATTGTTGCCATGCTTGAGCCCATTAAGGCTTTCACTTTGCCAATCCATCTCGCTGGGGGTCTTCCTCGTTTTCTCTGACCCTCCACCTTACCAAACATGCTATCCTTCTCCAGCGACTGGTCCCTCCTGACAATATGTCCAAAGTATGAGAGACAAAGTTTGGCTATCCTGGCTTCCAAGTTGGTGGTTACTGGGCTACTACAATTTATCATAACATTCTAAAAAGTAGTGGATTGTGCTCTTACGTGCTAAAAAGATTTTTTTCAAATTATTTTGGCCAAATACAATTGTTTGACTTTGTAGTAAAATAAAATGTATTTGAATGCTATTGAACTACGTAATTGAAACCCCACAGACAAAGCTCCATATCATCAGTTAAAATAAGGCCAGGGCAGACTGTGGAACAGATTATTAACTGCTCACATGTAAGCTGAAGCAGAAGCTGAAGCTGAAGCTGAAGAAAATTAAAAGAAGTCCACACGAGTGAAAATATGTCCTTGAACATATCTCACCTGAATTTATAGATCATCTCAAGAGAAGATTTGATGAATTAAACATGAATGATTAAAGACCAGAAGAGTTGTAGGATGACATCAAGAATATCATGCTGGAAGAAAACAAAAGGTCACTAAGAAGACAAGAAAGAAGGAAAAGACCAAAATGAATGTCAGCATAGAGATGCTAAAGCAAATGAAAGAAGTGAGGTAAACGACCTTAATAGAAGATTTCAAAGGGCAGCTCAAAAATTATAATTACAAAGTCAAATATTATAATGAAATATGCAAAGATCTGGAGTTAGAAAACCAAAAGGGCTGGACACCTCAGCATTATCAGGGAAATGAAGAAAAAATTTTAAGCCCCAACTTGTAATATTGATGGATTCTATGAGCAAAATACTGAATGATGCAGAAAGTATCAAAAGAAGATGGAAGGTACACAGAGTCACTGTACCAAAAAGAAATGGTCACTAGTCAAACATTTCAATAAGTAGCATATGATGAAGAACAAATGATAACGAAGGAAGAAATCCAAGGTAAACTGTAGGCACT